GAGAAGTACCAATAGGCACCAGAATGTGAAGCAGCTTTTCACACCCTCAGAACCTTGTTGACTACAGCACCTGTGTTAGCACAACCAGACATTGAAAAGCCGTTTGATGTATTTTGTGATGCATCAGGAATAGGTTTGGGATGTGTGCTTATGCAAGAAGGGAGAGTAATTGCATATGCTTCTCGGCAATTGAGAAAACATGAAGTCAACTACCCTACACATGATCTGGAACTTGCAGCCGTTGTCCACGCATTAAAGATATGGAGACATTATTTGTTGGGCAATGTATGTCATATCTACACTGACCACAAAAGTCTCAAGTATATCTTTACCCAGCCTGAGCTGAACATGAGACAACGAAGATGGTTAGAATTGATTAAGGTCTACATTTTGGAAGTGCATTACCATCCGGGTAAAGCAAATGTAGTAGCCGATGCACTTAGTCGGAAGTCCCATTGCAACACTATGGAAGCATTGTTGGAAGATGGATTCAACTTGTTACATCCTGCTGTACTACACAATATCATAATCAATTGTTCACTTGAGAGCAAAATCATAGAGCTACAGCAGACAGATGTAGGAATAAGTCACATCAAGAGAAAAATGCAAGAGCAAGAAACCAAACATTTTAGATTGGACGAAAGAGGTGTATTATGGTTTGAGGACCGACTAGTGGTACCAAAAGACCGTGAGCTAAGGAATCAAATTTTAGAAGAAGCTCACTCATCCAAATTGTCTATCCATCCGGGTAGTAGTAAAATGTATCAAGATTTAAGAACCCGTTTTTGGTGGACTAAGATGAAGAAAGAGATCGCAGCCTATGTTGCTAGGTGTGATAACTGCAGTAGAGTAAAAGCTGTCCATATGAAAACTGCTGGATTACTTCAGCCATTGCCTATTCCAGGATGGAAATAGGAGGAAATCAGCATGGATTTTATCATAGGCCTTCCAACGACGCCACAAGGTCATGATTCAATATGGGTTATTGTTGATCGTCTCACCAAGTCAGCACATTTTGTACCAGTTCACACAACATATCACGTGGGGAAATACTCTGAGTTATATGTTTCCTAGATCGTGAGACTGCATGGAGTACCCAGGACTATAATCTCAGATCGAGGACCACAGTTCATAGCTCGTTTCTGGGAGCACTTACACCAGGCTTTGGGAACCAAGCTAATCAAAAGTTCAGCTTATCATCCGCAAACTTCAGGACAGACAGAGCGAGTGAACCAAATCCTAGAAGATTTACTTAGAGCTTGTGTTATATCTTCAAAAGGTTCATGGGAGAAATGGTTACCTTTAGCTGAATTCTCCTATAACAACGGTTATCAAGCGAGTATCAAAATGGCTCCATTTGAAGCCTTGCATGGCAGAAAGTGCAGAACTCCATTGAATTGGATTGAGCCCGGTGAAATGAGGTACTTTGGTATTGATTTTGTCAATGAAGCCGAAGAGCAAGTACGTATCATCCAACAACATATGAAGGCAGCTCAATCAAGACAGAAGAGTTATGCCGACAGAAGAAGAAGACCACTAACTTTTGAAGTGGGTGACTATGTATACTTGAGAGTATCACCCATGAAAGGTGTGAAAAGATTTGGGATGAAAAAGAAGCTTTCACCAAGATATGTAGGGCCATACAAAATTTTGGAACGAAAAGGGAAGGTTGCGTATAAGTTACAACTTCCACCAGAGATGAGTGTAATCTTTGATGTGTTCCATGTTTCTCAGCTAAAGAAATGTCTTTGAGTACCGGAAGAAGCTATTGCACCCACCAACGTGCAGCTTCAATCGGATTTGACCTATGAAGAAAAGCCAATTCGAGTAGTAGAAGAGATGGAGAGAGTGACAAGGAGTAAGATTATTAAGTTTTATAAGGTGGTGTGGAACAATCATAGTGAACAAGATGCTACGTGGGAAAGAGAAGATTATCTACGAGAAGTTTATCCCGCCTTTTTCCAAGAATTGTAGGTCTTGCAAATCTCGGGACGAGATTTTTATAAGGGGGAGGGGCTGTAACACCTCGGATGTTAGCCTTGCATAACTTGACTTGCATAACATGAGCATGATCATCACGCATTCATAAACAAGCATTTACAATTGGAACATTGAATTGAAACATATGCAACGTTGCTTGTTATTGCATGTTTCTTTGTACATATGCAAATGATCATGAATGTAAACATGTACTTGGTAGATTTGAGTCACCAAAATATTTTGGCAATGCTTAGGTTCACAAATGGAACATGGATCATGAATGTCATTTTCCATGGTCAAGTCTTTAAGGCATATTTCATGTGATTACTTTAAATAGCTCTATGAGTGACTACTACATGAAATGTTTAAATGACCCTGCAAATTGCTTAAACATGTTTAGAGTATCATCATGAACAACTTTGGTATTTGGGGCTAGGGCTAGTTTGGTCATTAAGCCATGCTTTGATGTGTTTCATCTTTCAAATGTGACATGTTTGACCAATTTGGAACTAGGTGCTAGAGACCTTGCATGGAGGAGATCACTAAAGCAATGCTGTAGTGTTTGACATAAGGAACAACTTTGATTTTTGAGTCTTTGACTGTTTCAGCTCCTAACATGTGTGAAATTGGATCACAAAAATCAGAAAAATCAAACTTCAACACTTAACAAATTTTTTCTAAGTTCTTTTTACAATGGCAGTTGACAGGCTCCACTTTGGACTGAATTTTCTCCCTAGCTGTTGCGAATTAGAGCTTGATCTTTGAATAAGAGTTGTAGCTGGTACCTTGGGCTACAAAACTCATGTAGGGCATTTGCACGAAGGAGCCACGGTTTTGCAGTAATATCGACTTGAAAATGCGCTGTCAGGCTGCTCCTATCGCGTCTGAACTAACTGAATCGACCGGCACAGTGGCCGACCGGCTTCAGACACCGCGCGCCGCGTGGAGGTCGCCATGGTCGCGCGTCGCCAGCGCCCTGACCGCGCCGGCCACGACGCGCCTGAGCGCGGCATTATCACGCCAACACCCGCCCGCTCCCGTCCGCGCCCTCAGTTTCGCTTTCCCGCTCCTCCTTCGCCGTCCGCAGCACCCACAGCGCCGCTCTCTGCCATTGTAGCCGAGCGCCTCGCCGTCACCCAGCTCGCTGCCACCGTGTTTAGAGCCAGCGATAGGCCGAGCTAGGTAGTTCATTAGGTGCGGCTCGTCGTGAGGCGCACGATGGTGTCCTCGGTTTCGCCGGGAAGGGGTCGCCGGTGAGCTAGCGCCGCTCCCGCGCCGTCGCATGCGCCGTCCTCTGTTTTGGTTTCACTGACAGGCGGGCCCTGCTGACCAATGGGTCCCTGCTGTCAGCGACTTTAGGTTATAAAGATAGTTCAAAAATTTCAGATTCAAGTGTGATTTGTGATTTTTGTATCTTCAGTTTGGTAGCTCCTAAATTTGTGAAATAAATTTTGTAGTGTTCCTTAGGAAGTGTAGTATTTAGGAAAAATATGTTTTTAACATTTACAGTAGAAAGTTTTGGAGATTTAAATAGGGATTTGAAATGTGCTTTTGAATGCATTCAAATTTGTTTATTTTATATCTAGAGTTCCTGTGCTCCAAAAATTATGAAATTTTTGTGGTAAGCTATTCTTGTCATATATGAACTATGGTAAAAATTTGAGGACCAGTGCATGGGTAGATTTATAGTTATAGATTTTTCTTTTATTTGCCTTATAAATGACACTGGATAGTTGTAACTAATGGATCTCATGTTATGGTCCTTTTCATTTCCATGTTTGTTGTTCTTCATAGCAGTGTTAATGACCTTCATGGCCACCTCATACAAATGACTGTTCTGAAACTCATCTGCAAAATCTGTCACTGCAAGTTTTTTTCTTGGAATTCCAAGTCCAGTTACACCCATAACAAAACTGATAGGATTCTGTGTCTGAAGGTAGTGAGGAACCCTTGGGATCGCGGTAAAGTATCCAAGTATTTCATGGCAATTGAGTCCTACTGGGCCAAAGTAAGCTTGACGGCCTTCTTGAGTTAGGACGATGACTTGATGGAAGTGTGAAAGTGCACGGGTGTTGGGGTAGTTAAATGTTGCGATGACCGATTGACTGCAAACTGGTAATTGTGATAAGATCTTCAAGATTGCTGAGGTACCAGATGAATCAAGACCTGAAAGAGGCTCCTCAAGGAATAGAATACTTGGGTTTGCTGCAAGTTCAACTGCAGTTGGAGTCCAAAGGTTTTAGACTCAGTAGAACTAAAACTGAGTATATGAGATGTGACTTCGGCACTACTACTCGGGAGGAGGAAGATATTAGTTTGGAAGGTCAAGTAGTGCCTAGGAAGGATACATTTCGATATTTAGGATCAATACTACAGAGAGACGGGGATATTGATGAAGATGATAGCCATAGAATCAAAGCGGGGTGGATGAAGTGGCGGCAAGCATCTGGTGTCCTATGTGACAAAAGGGTACCACAGAAGTTAAAAGGCAAGTTTTATAGGACGACGATTAGACCTGCTATGTTGTATGGTGCAGAATGTTGGTCTACGAAAAGACGACATGTTCAACAGATAAGTGTCGCGGAAATGCGTATGTTGCTTTGAATTTGCAGTCATACAAGAAGGGATCGAGTTCGGAACGATGATATACGTGATAGATTAGGGGTAGCACCAATTGAAGAAAAGCTTGTCCAACACCGGTTGAGATGATTTGGACATGTCCAACAGAGACCTCCAGAGGCACCGGTGCGTAGTGAAATCCTAAGCCAGGATTGTAACGTGAAGAGAGGCAGAGGAAGACCGAAGTTGACTTGGGTAGAGGCAATAAAAGGAGACTTGAAAGGATGGAATATACCCAAAGACTTAGCCCTAGATAGAAGTGCTTGGAAGACAGCTATTCACGTGCCTGAACCTTGATTGCTTCTGCTGGGTTTCAACTTTAGCCTACCCCAACTTGTTTGGGACTTAAAGGCTTTGTTGTTATTGTTGTTGTTGTTGTTTGCTACTTCAAATGCCATCCCTCAGGGAACCAAGTTATTGGCATAATACTGCAAGCCCAGCTGATCAAGAACTAACTCAACATGCATATGCCTTCTTGCTTCGCTTATGCGATTTGTTAGTCTAAGGCTGGCACTGAATTGAAGTGACTCGTGTATGGTGAGGTAAGGTTGATGTGCATCAAGCCGCTCAGCATAGCCCACTCTTCTTGAGAAATCAGCAGAGGGTTTGGTGCCATTGACTCGGATATCTCCAGTAAAACTACCACCTAGAGGTGTCCTACCTGAAAGGCACTTTAGCAGTGTAGCTACACTTCCATTAGCACCCCCTACAAGAGCTAGCATAATTCCTGGTCTTGCACATCCACTGACATTCTCAAAATCTATAGCTTCTTCCTTTGTTGCCTTTCCACACCTGTCACCGGAAAGCCTTGTCATACTGCATGTGATAAGGAATTAAAGTACATTTTGTTTTTTAAAACTTTATTTGCCTTGTCTCTATCTTCATGAAGTTGCATTTAATCATGTATTATTTTTGTAATTTGTTAGTTCCATTTGTGTCACTTCATAATATGTTCTACTCTGAATAATATTTTGCTAACTTTCAAGTGCACACTTTATAAAACAGTACGCTAGTGTAGAATTGCAGCACAATTAATTGGAAAACTACCTGACAAATGATAGTTCCAAGAATGATAAAGTCATCAGTGTGACTGGTATTGTCAACTGTTCTGAATCAATTTTAACTCTAAATTCTTCCCTCCAGCTCCTGACACTCGCATTCTCATCCTCAGAAATTACTGTTGTGGAACTAGATGCTAACTTTGGTGACTCCAGAAACTTGTATCTTCCTGACTCAATAGAAGCTTCCATATAACTGTCAGTTGAGCTTGAATAAATCTCCACATCATACAAATAGTTCTTTGAAAGCTTCCTTTTTTTAATCTGTGGCACAGATTGACTGATTTGCGAAAACTTTATTTAGGAAGATCAATGCCATTAACAGAGTGAGTAGCGTCCAACCAATTAGAATTATATAAGGGACCCAAGGCTTTCCTGAAACACCTGTCAACAGTTCAGCATAGATTAAGTAGGCCTTGCCAGTAGCCATCTCTGGATTGTCCTTGCAGAAAGTAAGTTGGTTTAGATATTTGTTGCAGAAGTCTTTGTAACTATATGAGAACTGTCGATCGCAGAAGAACATATTGGCCCAACGAATTGGATTGATGTGCATTAGCCACTTCCAGTATTGAGGGATATTAGATGGGTAAATCACAAATCCACTGAACAGAAGGAAAATGGAGACTACGAGGCCTGCATGCAGGTAGCAGTTCAAAACTGTTAGATTTAATATGGGCTTGGCCCATATTTTATTTAATTAAATCAAATAAATCCTAGGCTCATATTATATGCTACGGTGCATAAATTGCTTTTACCACTTAAGCCAATTATGGTCAGGAGTTTCTATTCCTAAGTGTGAGCGGGAGTTACAAGAGTTTCTGCTCCTAATGATGGCAAGAGTTATGGGAGTTTCTGCTCGGCAAGAGTTATGGGAGTTTGTACTCCTAATGGCGAGAGTTACGGGAGTTTCCGCTCATGATGATGGAAGTTTCTTTCGTGAGCGTCTCTTCCACTCCTGACTCTTGATCTCTTGTGCCCCCGCTCAGCTTCCTGGCTACGTGATAAAAGCAAGACACGCTTCAACATTCAGACGAGCTCTAGTCTCTCTCGTACACGCACCTCACTAATCTCTGTCGAGTTGCCTTAGAGCTTCCCCATCCCAATTCTCTACGCACACGGAGAGTTGGGAGAGCAGGCCTCCGGAACCGCCGTCCGTCAAGTGACACCTGTTCGGGTGTGCGGACGATCAGGTTTTTGGGGAACGTCTCCGCGACTCGCTTCTTTGAATCCTCTTTGTCTTCTTCCTGGTGGCCGCCGACATCATCTTCGTCTTCCTCTTCAGATCGTCTTCTTCCTGTTGAACATTCGAGGGACGGCACTGCGTACACCTTCCTGCATCAACTGTGGTCCGCGACTTCAAGCAACGCACTATAACGGCTAGTGCGAATGGAGCTACCGGTGCCTTGAGCATAGGTTACCTCCGCAGGATATAATCTGTGGGGGTATGGCCCCCGGTATCCTCAAGACAAGACATGGGCCGCACCATCAGAGGTGGCCCGGCCCATAAGATCGAGGCGTGCACGGCAAGACAATCCTTGCATGATTTTTTATAAATTATTTAGGAGTCCAAAATTCATGAAATTTGTTGGAGGTAATCCTAGTACCATATGGATGTTAAGAAAAATAGTAAATCTGTTGCTTGACACTTTTCAATAGGATTTTCCATTTATGCTATTTCAAGCCTTGCTTCCTTGTCATTTTTGTATAGAATGTTCTACTTAGTAAAATGACATGAAATTTTTATAGTAGTCCTTTGATAGCCTTAGTAAGGCACTGTAAATTTTTGAGAATTTATGAAGTGTATCTGATACATGTTTATTATTTAACCTAGATATCTAAATAAAATAATAAAGGCAATTAAATAAATAGTTTGGGCTTCACCCCTATATTATCTTAAATGTTTTTGGTATGCTTAAACTGTTGGTAGATTCTATGTTGTCAAATTTTGAATGATTACATGAAGTAGAAGTATTATTACTTTATATTGCATATTAAATAGTTTCCGGACTGATTCTAGAGTTTGATGAGTTGCATGTTGAAACTGATGTGTACCATAAAAATGGTTAATAACAAAGTTGTAGAGAATTTGATAAGCTTTCCAGAAAATCCAGGATCACTGGATTTGGATTTGTAGAACTCTAGTTATGAGTGAAACAAGTAGCTGCTATTTTATGGTATAATCGATGCATTATGAAAGTAGATAATTAAATAACCGAGAAGAGATATGCACCTACTCAATAAACATGATGCACTTGTTAACATATACGCATTCGTAATACTTATGCCATATTCATGCATCTAGGATCGAAGGAAGAGATCACGTTGCTGGAATTCGAAGAAGCAGAGGAAGGGAACCAGCAGGAGGATCCGCAAGCCGCAGCTCCCGAAGGCGTGGAGCAGAACCCTGAAGAGCTTCCGGAGTGTCCTGACCACCGTCCTACTTCCTTTCTGCGAGGCAAGCCCCGGAGCATTATAAGTCTCCCAGTAATTTACAAATGTTTACTTACGTATTTATGATTGATGCATTAGGTTATAAGAGTTGAATGAAACCACTTGATGCATGTACATTCCTTGTCCAAATATTATACCTTTAACCGGTATAGGTCCAGGATCGAATAAATGCTTAGCCATGCTTAGACCGGTAGAAGTCGGGTGATATCCTGTCACCTGCGAGATATAGGTGGATACCGGAGCACGGTTGGCTATATCTGCCATCGTGGAACAGAACCATGAGGTAAAAGTAAATCAAGACCGGACGGGAGGTCGATAGAGAAGCAACAAGACATGGAGGTCTTGGGTGTGGATCTATCCCCGTCTGTGTCGATCAAGGACCGTACCGTTGTTGGAACTTCTGACAAGATTGAACGCATGCCTCTCACTTAGCTGGCCGGATAACTCGTTCCGACCGCGAAGCCGAGTAATTCAACTCAGGCCGGGAATCGTTCTGTTGTGCGCTCCTTCCGGGGAACGATCAGACTGAGCCCAAGGGCAGGCTTGGCCTGAGCATCCTGGCATCTGGTGTTCCAGATCGTGCGGCGCAGCACGGACCCGCGAAATGTGTACCGGAGTTGTACCAAAGGTGACCTAAGGCTATCGTGGCTGGTAGACCTGGGTTTGTGTTAGGAATAAATTCCCAGCTGGTTGAAATCGATTCGAATCACCGTCTCTCCCGGATAGTGAAAAACTTGACTAGCTCCAACATCGTAGTAACTGTGTTATGGAACATGATGGTTCGGATGAAAATGGAATTGCAATACCTGCTATGGTTACTATTGTATGCTTCTAAATGATATACCACATGTTTGGCACAGGATAGTCACTAATCTAGAAATAGATAGTTATAATTAACTTGATAAAGGAATCATAATTGTACAACGGATCAGTTGCCTTTTACGCAAAATGTTGTCAAGTTACGTTCACTTATACAGCCTTGCATAATCCTTGGAGTCATTTTATTTCTGGTTCATGACGGGTAAGTCTAGCTGAGTACCTTCTCGTACTCAGGGTTTATTTTCCCATTGTTGCAGATGGCACTGTGTATCATGGTTATTGCAAGAGTTGCTTCTATCCCACTGTGGATGAGGAGTAAGCCTTGGGCAGGCTTCTATAATTAATTCCTATCCTTGCTTTTGTGGACCGTGATCTGGCTTGGCACTGTATCAAACTATGTTGGAAACTTTATCTCCGAACTTATTTGCTTCCGCTTTATTTATCCAACTCGGTTTGTAATAACTTTTATTCGTACTCTGATGATGAAAGGTATCTGTGAACTTTATGTAATATGTGGCATGAATGTTGAATCCTGTACGATCTTGGTTGTTGTAAATTGTTTATCGGAACCCGTCGTGGTACTCGACGGACTACCGGGTTTATATGGGTTCAAGTATGACAGTGCGACCCCTTGTGGATTGCCATTGTACTTGTATTCTTATAAATTGGTCGGTTCTGCGATATTGGTGGTTCGGCGGCTAAGAGGTGTTGTACGAACCTCATCCACACAATTGGACACCACAAGAACCTACCCACAAGTGAGGTAGCTCAATGACATGAGCAATGTACTAGAGTTACCTTTGGAGCTCCGCCGGGGAAGGCACAAGACCCCTCACAAGCAACCGATTGAGGCCGGAGACAATCACCAACTCCGTTCAACGATCCTCCAATCACCGGGCCATCTAGGTGTCGACAAACACCAAGAGTAACAAGCTCACAACCAGCCCAAATCACCCAACTAGTGCCACGAGATGATGCAACTCAATGCAATGCACTAGAGGCTCTCCAATCTCACTCAAGATGATGAAATCAAGTGAACAAGTGAGTGGAGCGTGTTGCTCAGATTCCAAAGGGTGTGCACAAGTGTATAAGGTGCCAAGAGAGTGGCCAAGGCCGGCCACACCCTCTATTTATAGCCACACAAGCAAATAGAGTTGTTACCCCTTTGAGCTACTTTCTACGAGGGCACTAGACAGGTCAGTGTGCTACCGGACAAGGGGTGGCGGTGCCCTCCAACGGTCGACTCAACGGCCATTTTGACTAGCCGTTGGGTCATCGGGCAAGTGAGGTGGCACCGGATAGGGGGGTGGTGCCACCCTGGCCAAACCCCTGTTTTCCCTCCTCTCTGGATAGATAGGGCGGTGCACCGCCACACCCACGGTGGTGACCATGGCGGTGGTCCCCCGGCTATAAATCCAACTCGCTGCCCTCGGGTGAAATAGGGCGGTGGCACTGGACAGGCAGTGACGGTGCACCACCGTGCCCATGGCGGTGAACACCGCCGTGTTCGGTGACCACCCCACAGCGGCCCTTCTCTGTCAAGTCCTGGTGGGCACCACCACAGGGGTGACGGTGCACCGGACAAGGGGTGGGGTGCCACCCAGGCACCAAACCCCTTCCCCAAGTTGCAAATTCTTTCGTGTTTTGTTCCACGGCAACTTAGAGCAACTTTCCGCAAGCGATGCTAACTCTCAAAGTATTTTCTCAAAACATGTTAGAGCCAAGTTAGCATTTCTCAAATCATTTTCCATAAATATTTTCGCTTGCTGTCCGATGTGCACTAGGCCTAAATGCAATGCATGAAGTCCAACACCTAGTGGCACTAGATGACCGAATTATCTAGTTAAGAACCCCTCTTAATAGTACGGTCATCTATCATAAATGTGATCACACTCTCTATAGTGTCTTGATCACTAAAACAAAATCCCTAATTATACCTTTGCCTTGATCTCCATAGGGTTTTTTTTTTCTCTTTCTTCTTTTCCAAGTTGAGCACTTGATCATCATCACATGTGGCCATCTCATCATTTCATGTGATCAACATCACCATTTGAGTGACACCATGATCCTTACTTGAATTGCACCAACCTAGCTCATATCATCACTCATGACAAATGTTAGTGCTTAGGTTTCATCAATTATCCAAAATCAAACTAAGGC